AGCGATTTCCACAGTCTAGCACCACTTAAAGGAAAAGTTTTTGGAGGTACTTGGTCTTTTTACCCCTTTCCCTTGATTCCCAGGTAGAGGTGACTAATTACAGAGTTAACAAATCCTTCTACACACTGGTATGATGACATCCAGTGTCAATGTCAAAGTTACCTTAATATCCTGAATAACTATCAGCTCCACACCACCTTTTCCTTAGACATTTTATAGATTTCATCGGCATGTATTCTTTGAGAGAAGTTTTTACCCCTTGTACTTGATCCTTGCTTCTTCCACTGCTTGCTATGGGGTTAGAACAGTTAGAAAAATTGGCTGTTAAGGAATGGCTCTAGTTGGCAGAGTGTACTGCCTCAGCAGAATCACAAGCTGGCATCTTAGAGTTGCCATCCAGATATAAATATAAATTTATATTCAGATATTTGTTTCTTGGCATCACCTTTGCAAATTCAGGAATGTCTGAAACATGGTAATCTTTCCAAGAGTGATGACAAGTAATGGATAGTTATGACAACAATCAACCTAGAAAAAAATTACCCTAAAGTCAATTCCCTCAACAAGATGGGATTTCCTTGACTTTAAATTGCAGACCTGATTGTTTTGCAAACAGTTTAAGACAGCATGCAGCTGTTCACAAGGATAAAGTAATTTAGTGGCATTTAAACTCAGGAAGTGCTTGTATATCGTGTGGTTCTTCTGTGCTTCTGTCCACTCCATTATCTGCCTCCTCATTTTTATCCTCCATGATGATGTTTCTCAAATCAATTTATCTGGCTTGTGAAGTGGCTTTGTCCTTTTCATGTTTCAAATCCTTCAATGTCAGAGTCAAAACCATCTTCCAGAATAGAAGAGTTTCTGGCAAAATAATTAGGTGCTTGTTGGCCAGAGTACCTTAAAAGGCTTCTGCTCATGTTTGCAGGTGGTGATGAAACCTTATGAAAACAACTCAAACCGTGCTAAAATAGCAATTCTGTGTGTTTTTGCAAAATTAACAATTAGGGACTGGTAATGACCAAAGGGAGTACTACGGTAGCGATTTAAGGCAATGCAATTCTGCTGCAATCATAATATTAATCATAATAGGTCTTATGTAGCACTAGTATTCTAAAGTTCAAAGGAGTTTTACAACACCACTGAAAATCTTTAAAAACTCTAAAAAGGAATCAGTCTAAAGTAGTAACAAAAGGCTTTTTTAAGTCTTTTTCTAAAAATGGACAATGCAAAACTGTGTTTGATGTCATGTGGCAAAGCATTCTGCGGTGTTGAGGCTGCTACGGATCATGTCCCACAATTTTTTTAAAGTTGTATGACAGAGTAAAAAGATGTCTTTATGATTAATGTAATTAACCCAGTAAAGCGTAGGGTGTAAGCATATTGCTTTTGTACAATGGTGCTAAGTTGTTGAGTGCCTTGTGGTTATGAATGAAATTTTAAAATTATGCAATGATTCACTGGAAGCTGATGAAAATTTAAAAGAATGGGTGTAATATGGTGATTCTTTCTTTCTTGAGTCAAGTAGCAGCATTCTGGATGTGCTGTGAGGTAGGGCCATAAAATAGAGCATTGCAGTGATCCAGCTTTGAGGACTCAAATGCACGAACAAGTAGTTCAGTGATGGTCCGCATTAGGTACTACCTAATGCAGTTGATGATTCGTAGATGATAAATGAAGCAAAAATGACTATCAAATATTACATATTCCTGGCTTTCTGGAAGGGTTGAATGGTTTCTTCACAACTGAGATATCTCAAAGAAGTGGTCTTAAAAGGTGTTTTGGTGAAGTTTATCAATAGTTCAGTCTTGACTCTGTTTAGATTTAAGACTATTAACCAGCATTCAGTGATTCAATTCAATCGGACAGCACTCCATTTAAGACATAGCTAGATCCCTATCACCAGGTATAGTTGGCTGAATGGAAAAATAGGCGTGTGAGACGTCAATGTAGTAATGATAGCTCAAACTGAATATTCATTTTATGTCTGAAAGTGATGACGTGTAAAGAGGATGTAAAATGGGTCCTAAAGATCCTTATGGAACTCCACATCCAAGAGGATGTTTCATAGAGGTACCATCATTAACAGGAATAGCTTAAAATTTTTACGTTAATGAGAACACGCATACACCTGAGACAAGGACACTTTCAAAATACTCTCACTCTCATTTGTCTGGCAAATTCCACATGAAAAACATCTCATCTTGTTTTCTCTCAGACTCTCATAGTGTCTGAAGTCAAACATCTTTGTTTATCCTCTCGCTGTCTGGTGCTGTTTTTTTTACACTTGTTGCAGTGTGCTTTATAGTCACTTTGTGACCTGCGATAAACATTTCTTTTTGGTTGCAACTTTATCTTTGTTGATTGTTTTGAACTTTGTTTATTTATGTGCATGAGTTATCTTCTAGGATTTCCTCAGTAAGCAAGAACGAAGTGTAAGAGCTGTCTGAGGTGCTAAGTTAGGGCCTGAGCTTCTTGAGTTCTTTGCAAACCTCCTGCATGCATCCATAACTCAATAGTGTATGCTGTGGTGTTTACCATTTGTTTTAAACCACAACATCGATACAAAGCAGCCAAAGCGTTCCCTTCTATTGAACCAAAAATGTTTGTACAGTCTTACTTGACCAGACAATACAAGAAACAAGAGTGCATAACCTAGCCACTGCACAACCTGCAGCATGGCCTTACTCATCGATACAATCAAAGCAAATGTAATCACGGTTCCTGAAATTTATTTTTGAAAAAAATCTGAGCTTTGTACCTGTAAACAATTGGTGCCATTGCTCCATCAGGAGCAAAGTGTAAGATGAAAGTAGAAACCATCCTTTGATGTCATTTAAAAAATGGACTGAATTTCAGAGCAAAAACCAATTTGCAAGAGCTATTTTATTGCCACTTTTTCAGTGTGGAATTTTTTCGATTTCTGTTTATAGATGTTGATGGAAGGAGTAAAGGCTCTTAAAAAGACATGGCTGCAGTTGTGGGGTTGTGAGGTTGAGTGACGATAGTTGCAGATAACCAGACTGCTCACTTTGGAGTCCTGAAATGACCATGATGTGGTGTTTTGAAATCTTGGCATTGGAGCTGATAATGATAACAAGCTTCTTCACTGATATTTTTTGTCATTTTAGTTTATTTACATGTAGGCTGTGTATTATAACTGGTCAAGCTTTGTATATATACTGCACTTTTGTCTGTGCTGTTTTTCTTTGGGTACTGAAAAGTTTAGTACACACTGGATAACTTGTCTGGTCTAAGCTAACCAAAATAAAACAAACCTCCTTCTCTTGCCTTTAACTTTGGCCACTGCTTCTTCCTCCTCTCTCCTATTTCCACATAGGTACTCATGTCAGTTTCCTTTTTCATTTCTCTTGCTCTTTGGAAGATGAAGCCATGGTCCTTAGCATTTCCAAAGAAATACGGGAGTTGGTCAGCTAACCCTTTTATCTTATTCTAATTCCTTTAATGCTAAATACGCAAAATTCATTTTATTTTTATATCCAAAACATACTCATTTGGACCCTTAGTCCTATCTGCAAGCAACTTGACCTCAATTTGGAACTAAACTGTCTTTTCCTGGATAGGAAATCTACCCAAATGCTCTCCAATTGTTGCAGTTGCAGCTCCAACATTTTTTAGTATTTCTTAGACTGTATCCAGCTGGGATGGTTGATTCAGCAAAGATTCTTCTTCTAAGACAGTTTGAAAAGGAATCAGGTGACCCAAAAAAAATCCAGGTTAGTTACAAATGATAGTTGAGAATGGAAATAAACTGTCTGCCAGCAGGAAGACAAAAAGACGAGTTCAAACAGCTACCACCACACCACATTAATTAAACTAACTTTAAAGAATTTGAAATTTTCTCAACTTATTAGGAAACCTAAAAGCAATGAAATCCCTAAGTAACTTAATTGATGTGAAACCTAAAGCCTGATCATCTTTTTTTCCTATTTCTTTCTTTCTTCCATTTGTTTGTTTTTTTTTTTACATTTTATTGTATTATTGTTGTGTCTTAGGAGCTTGCAGTAATACCAAACAAGGTCTCCTCTGTGGCAAGAGAGATTTGGCACATTCACTTGGTTGAACCAGTTCAAGACCTTTTGGATAAACAATCTGGTAAACATACATTTGATAAAAGAGTGCTCAATTGAATCTCTATCTCCGCAGTATACACATTCATCATCCACCTTACTACCAAATCTGTAGTTCTTTCTTAGTTACTATCTTTCTTTGGATTAATTTAAATTGAAATTCTTTTAGTTTCGTTTCCCTACAAATGTTTTTCAGTGATTTAAAGATCTTAGTCCATACGTCTTTCTTCATAGAGAGTTTTTCGCTCCAACGTTTAGGGCCCGTTTGATCTTCGGTGTGAATCTTGATGCTAAGCAAATCATAGAAGTCCTTTGACTTAGCCTTGTAGAGATTAATTTGGGTTGATTCATTGAGGGAAAAGATATCATTTTTGGGTAAAGAATGATTTGTTGATGGTGTCAAAGCCTTTGGCTGGAGATCATGAGCATTTAGGAATAGCACTAACTACTTGATAATACTGTAAGAAATTGGATTTACAGGAATATTTATTATGGAATTTGTGGAATGATAAAGTATTGCCAATTCACTCAATAGACTGCTGGTGTCATGCTACACTTGAGTGCATTTGGTTACATGTTTGGTTGTCTTAGACAAACATGCCTACCAAGCGCTCTTTTGTATGGCAATTCCTGAGAAATCTTGCACCCATGATTTCACTTCCTTCATTCCTAACCAACTTGACCAATTAACAGGATTTAGTCTCCACCTGGAATATTTAGCCACTTGTCAGAGACAAAACTGTGTTTGAGGAACTTGGAATGCCTTCCTTTTAAGGGTTCTGACTTTGGACCCTCCTTGATCTTTACTTGTGGCCATTCAGTCTCTGTTGAGAATAAATTGTGGTCCATTCCACCTATTGTCATTAGTCTTTGATAATCATTCCACAGGAACAAATTTGTTTGAGCTTCAATTTAAGGTTTGTTTTTCTCCAGTTTATTTGCCACAAATGGATGGAACCATCCTCCTCTACCATGAATCCAAAAAAGCACATTTGCACTATCTGACTAGAAATTTAAATCTGTTAAATGAATATTTAACAGGAAAATATCTTATCTTATTTTCTCTTAGACTCTCAGAGTGTTTAAAAATGAACGTCTTTGTTTATCCCCTTGCTGTTTAGTCCTTATTTACTCCTTGCATTCTGCATCAGAGTCACTTTGCAACCAGTGTTAAGAATTTCTTTTTGAGTTATTGACTTCCTTGATTTCTTTTCTAGCATTTCCCTTCTTGGGCTTTGGTTGCTGAGCACAAAAGAAGCATTAGAGTTGCTTGAGGTGATAGAAGAGAGTGACTCAAGGTTCTGGAGTTCTTAGCAAACCTCCTGCATGCATCCATAACTCAATAGTGTATGCTGTGGTGGTTACCATTTGTTTTATACAGTAACATTGATATGTTGTTGCAAAAATGTTTGTGTAGTCATTCCACAACCTGCAGCACAGCTTTACTCATCAAAATAATCAAAGGTAAATGTAATCACATTTCCTGAAATGCATGGCTCGTGTAGCGTCTAATGAGCTGGAAAGCTCTTTTAAAATACATATGTGCTATCTTTAAATAGCCTTAAAACGTACAGAATTAAAAATATATATTTAAAACGACAAGGTTTATCATAAAAAGCTGACATGTGCAACTGTGAATGTCACTATATTAGGCATAAATCAGATTAAAAATTAATTTAAATAAGAATGGAATAGATAAAAGCTGATCCTATTAGACAAGATTTTAAAAAAATGGAATTAAAATGATTTATTCTCAATCAATGTCGCAAACTTGGATAGGTTTCCTTTCTTTACATTGAGCTCAAGTGAGTTCCAGATTTTAATGACTTGGTAAGTGAAAGAGTTCTTCATCCAGGTAAGATTAAACCTTGGCATGCTAATATTAATACCACTACCTCTTAAGATTAACAGCACTACCTCTTAAGTTACAAGTTAAGTCTTTAAAACTAAAAAAGTCACAAATGTACCTAGTTCTGTTGCAGAGTAAAGATTTATAAAGTAACAAAAGAGAACTGCAAATCCTCCAATGTTTCAGAGTTTTCATGTTCACAATATCAAGCAATACTAGATATGCGAGTTTTACTGTAACCTAAAACAGATCTCGAAATATAAAAGTTTGTGTCCTCAAGACAACTTACTTGCACTTTGCCCACACCCAATAAAAAGGGACTGCAGTATTTTAAGTGTGACAAAACAAAGGAATTGTTGAGACCTATGCTGTCTACAGTTTCCAACACAGACTGACTAGAATCATTTCAGGAGGATTGACAGCTGCAGGTATGGGAACAGAAGCCATCTGCAGTGGATCTGCCATGGGCATTGCTAAAATTTGTAGTGCACTCAGTTGGATTGGCACTGGCAGTTAACCATCCTGGGATTTAAGTAGGGTTTCACCAAATCTAAGCAAGTGGGTAGCAGGAGTAATTGTTTCTATAGGCTGCGAGGAACATCACCAACTTTTTCATCAGCAGTTTTGAACTTTGCTGCACATGACACTTAAAGGTTTGTACTGACCTCTCAACAAGACCATTTGTAGCTAGACAACGTGGTTATGATGCATTATAGCGAATACTGTTAGATGAGACAAATGCCTAGAACTTCTCAGAAACAAACTGAGAGAGGATGAAGTCCTACAAGCAAACGGCTTAAATGAACAGCAAATCCCCTTGTTAGCATGTAAGATGAGACGCTTATACAACAGATCAATTGGTTAAACGGTGTGTAGCTTGTCAATCGAATTGACTTTTGTAAACATTCTTTGACTTCCGCCGGCAAAGGAATTATTGATGGATCTGGACGTTTTAGTTTTCTGAATACAGCAATTCTTGGAAGGTTTTTATAGATATGAAAAGAGAGGAAAAAAACCCATCTCTTCGTAATTCGGAGGTTGAGTCATCTTTGAATTTATGTGTCACGTTTGTCATGCAACTAATATAATAATGTGGAGAAGATTTACAAACTGTAAATTAAATCTGGCTAAAATATGGTAGAGCATAACTTGATCACCGAAACAGCTAATAAAATCATAAATAAATAAGGTAAGAGGTTATGTTAGATTTCTTTACAAACTATAGTGATTTATGCGAGTAAACGGTGGCGACAAGTAGACACACCATGTATACTTCATAGTCGCTAGCAAGTAAATTTTGCCGGACTTTGAGTTCGTCTCACGATATAACGACACAAATACACAAGGAAATTTTTACAGTAACTTAATAATCATCCTTTTGTCTTTTAAAAGCTAGAAGCTCAGTAGATTCTGTCATATCGGTCATTGTTAAAACTGTCTTTGTTTTGATGCTACTTTTCGACATAGAAAAAGTATGTCGAACAAAAATATTCACCAAAAAAAAATATTTCTTTGCCAGCTTCAATAATGACAGGGGATTAAGTTTAGATGATAAAACAAAGGATTATGTCGACAGAAATACCGGAGGTCAAGTAAATTCGTTACATGAGGTCACACAACTCGGGTAATATTCAGGGTGAAAATTTGCATATTTGAGTGGTCGAACGAAAAAACTAATTTCTCAAAAGCTAAAATACATTTTCACAAAAAAACTACACCACAATTATTTGGACATATCGGGCTACAAAATATGAAAGTAGAGAGAAAACGAATTTGGGTGACTTGCCGCTGTTTGTCTGATGCATGTTGACATTAGCTCTTAAGACCAGTAGAAATATACAGATATGCATTTGTAATATTTAAAAGGCAGCCAATAATTTTGATTATAAGAATACCTCTTGCTGCAAGGGAATTTGGAACTACGGACCTCTAATGAACTCTAATGAGTTGTGCTTGTTTATGCCAGATGCATATCATACACTTACTCCATTTAGAAATTTTAACAAACAAAGCAAAGAGGTTCTAAGATATCATGAGGTAAGCATTTAAAATTATGAGTTTACAATGGAATATATTGACTGTCTATTTACTCAACTTTAATTATACAGGTCTTAATATAGAAATTGTAGATAAATCAACAATTAAAATAAATAAAAAGGAAAAAATGAAAAAAATCACAAGATCTGAATAATTAGGTCACTTTATACAGACTAAGAGGATTCGTTTTAAAAATAAACTGTCTCTATTAAAAAACATATATATATATATATATATATATAAAATATACAAGTTTGCTCAAATAGTATGAAATATCATGACAAAATATTGTTAATCAATTATAAAAATCTATCCTTATGTTAAATTTATTAAGATAAAATTTATTGATACTGTTCTTAAATGATGAGAAATGTTCAATTGTTCTGGTATCTAGTGGTTGGCAATTCCACAGGTCTACAATACGATTTAAGAAAGAAAACTTAAAAACATCAGTTTTAAAAAGGCCTTTCACCACTGTAGCTTCATTATTTCTGATGTCATATTTGGGTGTCTTAAAATTTACATATGACAAAACATTGAAATCAATGTAACCTTTTAGGCACTTAAAGGAAAAAAGTTTCAGTTTGACAAGTCTCTCTGGATAACTTAAGTCAGTTTTCAGGATAAATTTAGTTGCACGTCCTTGTACGCGCTTAAGTGCAGTGATCTTTTCTTTACTGTAAGGTGATCAGACCTGTGAGGCACACTCCAGCTGTGATCAAATAAGTGATTTGTATAAAATTATCAATGTTTTCTGATCACATTCATTGGTACAAGTTGTTTTGATTATGCCCAGCATCTTGTTGGCTTTACTGATGAGGATGTCAATGTGATTATTACAAGATAACTTGGTAGAAACATGCACACCAAGGTCTGACAGAATCTATGAGCCATTGAGCGTATAGGTTGAATTGACAATATTATTTTTCCTTCTGATTGTAAGATATTTACATTTCTTTGAATTAAACTCCATGAAGTGATCAGCCGACCAATTGTTTAGATTTGACAGGTCACTTTGTAGTTGTTGAACATCATTAATGTTATCTATGATTCTGAAGCTTTTCATGTCATCAGCATACAGTTTTACAGTGGTGCTCGAGTGTATAGCTTTAGGAGCTGTATTCATATAAATTATAAGCAAAAGTGGTCCTAAATTGGACCCCTGAGGCACTCCTGATGATATTGGTAACAATGACGATTCACAACCACCAATGACTGTTCTGTGGTGTCTACATGTTAAATATGATCTAAACCAGGAAAGCAGTTTACCTCTTATACCCACATCAAACAGCTCTTTCAATAAACAGTTAAATGAAACAGTCAAATGCCTTGCTGTCACTGGATAACTTGTCTGGTTCAGGCTTACTAAAAGAAAACAGTCTTCCCCTCCTCTCTTGCCTTTAACTTTGGCCGCTGCTTCCTCCTAACTCCACATAGACATTTGTGTCAATTTCCTCTTCCATTTCTCTTGTGCTATGGAAGATGAACTTGTGGTCCTGGCACTTCATAAAAACTGGCAATAACTGTTCTCACCTCTGTAACCTTCTTTCTCCCAATGCCCTCCAATTGTTGCAGTTGTAGTCAACATTTTTGAGTGAGCTGTGCTGATATTCTTTCTGCCATGTTGAACATTTGCAGGACTAGATCCTCCGCCACATCAGCTTTTTTGCCCAATATAAACTGGTCTATGTTAAATAAACATGTAAAATCACTTTTGGAGTTACTTCTTAACTTTGTCTTCCATTCAGATGCTTAGGCCACCAGAAGCTATGCACAATTTGACACACGTGCAAGCAAAATAATAAGAATAATGTTTATTTAACTTAGTTAAAGCAATAATAATAATAATAATTAATAATAATTTATTTCTTATAGAGCACTATTTACAATGACAGATCAATAGCACTTTACAATTAGTGCCTCTAAATATTAAAATCTCAACTAATTGAAAAAATAGTTACATATTACAATTAACTTGGCTATTTATAATTCATAACTTAACCACTATTCAAGAATTGCCTGAAAAGAAGTCTTAATTGAATTCTTAAAAATTTCTACAAATCCAATATTGCATAATTGTAATGGTAGCTCATTCCATAGATGCGGTGCAGCTGCCTGAAATGCACATTCACCCAGCATTGCCAGCATTTTGCCTCTCGGTGGCTCTAATAAAATACCTGAGTTAGATCTAAGATTTACGAGGACTTACGTTTGATGACCAAAAGATTGCTAATATATGTGGGTGCGAGGCTGTGAATGGCTTTAAAAGCTAATAATAGAATCTTAAAATGTATACACGCTGGCACAGGTAACCAGTGTAACTCATAGAGTGCTGGAGTGATGTGAGAATATTTCCCAGTATCCATAATTAATCTAGCAGCAGCATTTTGCACGTGTTGTAACTTGGCTATTTGCTCTTTGGGCAGTTACAGTAGTCTAACCTGCTCGTGATGTATGTGTGTACCAGGGTGAGTAAGCTGTCTCTCAATAAATACTTCTTAATACGTCTAATATTGTGCAAGTAGAAGAAACCTGCCGTACATACATTAGTGATATGGTGGTACATACCTTAGTGATATGGTGGTGCATATTCAGGTTTGGATCAAGCCAGCTTCCGAGGTTCTTAACTTGGTAGCTATATAGGTTTTCTCTCTGAACCGCCTACTTTAATATTCATATCCTGCAATTTGTTAAGCTGCTGGTGAGTTCCAATAATAATAAACTCAGTCTTGTCACCATTAAGAAGGAGTCAGCCAGTAAGGAGGATGTTATGATTAACCGTAACGAAAGCAGGGCTAAGATCGAGTATGGCCAGCAAGGTGACTTCTTGAGAGTTCATTTTCATGAGAATATTGTTCATGACTCTAGCAAGAGCCGTTTCCGTGCTAAGATTTTTATGATATGCAGACTGAAACTCAGGATATAGTGAATGAGTCATCATATGGGTGTGTATTTGCTCAAACACCATCCTTTCAGTCAGCTTTGAAACATACTGCAGGTCGCTGACAGGTCGCTGACAGGTCTGTAGTTTTTGTATAGAAGGTCTAGCCCAGACTTCTTCAGCAGTGGGAGGACAAGCGCACACTTCCAGTCATCAGTGAATAGCCCAAACTCGAGTGATATATGGATCATTTTTGTTATGATCGGTAAAAGCACATCAATGCAATCTATCACTGGAGATGTTGGCATAGGGTCAAGAGTGCAGCTTTTATTTGTACTGCTGTTGATGACCTTGCGAACCTTCTCTTCCGTAATGGGGATAAATTTGCTAAGGGGGGAGGTGATACTGGGGCGTAATCATCGGGGAGTGCTGGTAGCCCTTGCGCCATGTTATCGAGATTGGAACCGATGGTCTCAATTTTCTGAAAAAAGAAAGTTCCCAGTTTTTTTGGCAAGTTACTATTATCGTCCATGGGTGGATACACCGCCCTGTTATCCCCCTGGTTGAGTAGCTTCTTCATCGCTAAAAGTAGGTGGCACTGACTGTTGGTATTATCCTGGATGAAGTTATGATAGAATTTGCGTCGAGCTTCATTCATCAAAGCATTCGCATTGTTCTTTTTTACTTTGTACGCCAGCATATCCTCCTTAGGGCCGGTTCATCGCCACTTCTTCTCAGCCTTCCATTTCTCCCACCTTGCCACCTTGATTTCCTCGTTGAACCAGGGAACTAATGGCCTAGAGCGTATCACTTTTGTACGCAATGGTGCAGCCAGTTGAGAGCATGAGCTAAGGTTGTGTTATAGCTGTTAACGAGTTCATCAAGTGTATCAGGAGTGTTTTGGCAGAGCTCAGAGGACAATATATCAACCTGTAGCTTTTCTCTGTCAATGTCCTTGATTTTTCTGTTGGACACCTGTTTTACTTTAGGGGGTGGTTTTCCCAACTCAAGATCGCATAGAACAGTAATATGATCAGAGAACAAGTAATCAGTCATAGGCTTAGCAAAGAGCAAAGAGTCCGAGCATCGAGTGATAATCAGATCCAGAATACGTCCAGAAATATGTGTAGGCTTGTCAGCAAGCTGCTCAAGGCCCATTGAAGTCAGCAATTCCAGGAAACAAGCAGTATCCGAATCATTGGGAACATTCACATTAATATTAAAATCGCCAGTGATCAGAAATGGCTCAGGGGACAGAACGACAGAAACACGCTTGTGGAGACAGGATGAGTGGGAGAGTAGAGAATTCGGTAAATTACAATCAACCTTAGTTTACTAGACCCATGTTTCAGAATCCATTCGCCAAATTCGAATGACCTGCATTCGCCACTGTCCACTTTTCGCACATCGATGGCTTCATTCAATAACAATGCATTCCCTCCGCCTATCCTACCAACTCTCTGATGTTCAAACAATTTGTACCCAGGTAGCGTAATCTCCATTTTATGGGCCATGTCCCTTTCAGACAACCATGATTAGGTGATAGCGAAAATATCAGCACCAGTTGAAGATGCGTAACAAACAAAATCGGCTGATTTGTTTTTAATAGATCTAGCATTTAGGCAGCAAAGCCCTAAATGCCTCCTGGCACATCGGTATTGTTCTTTGACAATAGAGATGCTAACAAGGCTGCGAAGTCGGTCTATTGAAGGGTCGTGAATAATTCAAGCCGTTTGAAGTTATGACAGGAATATTTAATAAGTTCAATAAGTTCCCCACTTCACGTATAGATCGTAAACATAATAATCGAGTCAAAGAAGGGCAAAAAGAAATTGTTTCTCATGAAGATCCAAGCTGAGTAGGAAGTTTGGGAGGTGTTAATACATTTGCTAAGGCACAGGAAATAAAACCTTCTAAAGCACGATGCCAGTTGGAAACGACCCTGCTACTACTGCGAAAGCTGCTGTGTTGGGAGGGGTCAGCGGTCACACTGATACGATCGAGATGCAGAATCTAAAATGTAAGAAATCTTCATGCCAAACAAGATCAAATTAATGCCATGAGTGAATTTGTGTTAAACATATTGTAAGAGTGTGTTTCCCTAGGACTACATGACATCTCAATTATGCAAGTATAGAACAGTCCTAAGTAAAATTGGAACAATTGTGTTTCTCTTAAAAAGAGATGATGCACTTTTCAAGCAGGAAGGTGCAAAATTTTGGCAGGGATGAATGACGCGTTTTGCTTATGTCTTCACAAGAAGTAGATACCGTTAATGGCATGGGTATTCATTTTGAAATAAATATGAAGTAAAAATACAGTTAAAAATTAAAAATTAGAATTAAAAATTAATTAAAAATTAATTACAAATTTCTGCTTATAGTAAAAATTATCAACTCTGGAGTTCCGATCTATATATTTCTTATATGGTTGATTTTTAAATTTACAAAGGGAAGTGAGACCCCTAGTGGCACTGTCTAGGTTGTTCCATAATCTGGTGCCACTTGCAAGGAATGAACGTTTGCTGGTCATAGTGCTAACGAAAGGTGTGGATAAGTCCATATTAGTTGACGCCCGAGTTGTGTAACGATGTCAATTTTTAACATAACAAATATAAGGATTAAAGTAATCGGGACATTTCACTAATAGGAATCCAACCTAATCTCTTAAAGGCCAACTAATCTTTCAGTGCCTACGTTTAAAATTACTCTGGCACAACGTTTTTTAATTATGAGGGGCCTTTGTAAATTATCAATCTTAGTGTTTCCCCACACTGAACAACAATATTCGAAAGTTGGTTTTATAAGCGTTGTATAGCAAATTCCTAAGTGATAAATTCAGGTACTTTCTGGCTCTTTTAAGATTTACCCTAGAATCTAATTTAGTGATCATGTAATCTATATGGCTATTCCAATGAAGATGCTTGTCTATCTTCACACGAAGCAGCTTTTTGTTCATGGCCTCTTTGATTTCAGTGCCTCGCAACGAAAGGTTAAGCTGGTTGGGTTTGTACAGTAGGAAAGTTTTTGCTTGGTTCCAAGAAGTAGCGATTTTGTCTTCTTTGCTTTTGGGACCATCTTGTTTAGCGAGAACCAGTGATTTGCTTTGTTGGGACTTCCCTTGTGGAATGCCTTGAGTAATTGGTAGTGTGTCAGACAATGATCCATTGATACAACATCGCTGTGTTTGATCATGTAGGTAAGACTCAAACCACAGCAGAGATGTATTATCAGTGTGGTACATACTGATTTTTGATAAAAGTAAGCTGTGATCTACTAGATCAAAAGCTTTACTAAGGTCCAGCAATACTGCACCAACAAGTTCTTTCGAGTCCATAGCTTTGAGCCAGTTGTCAGGAAGACTAAAAGTGCTGTTTCACAAGAATGATTCAGGCAATATGCTGACTGTTTACTATGTAAGAGCGTATCTGATGTTAAGTAATCAAGCTATGATCATGCAACATGCCTCTCCAGGGGTTTAGATATTACAGGCAATATGGAAATGGGGTGAGAGTTGTTTCTATCATGGATTGAGTTGTTCTTGGGAACAGTAGTCGGCTTCGCTCTCTTAAAGTTGTCCGGGAAAGAACCACTTGCAATACTAGCATTGTAGATGTGGGTTAGAGAAGGAGCGACAGCATTCAAAGCTACCTTTAAGGGATTAATTCCGATTCTATCAAGTTTTTGGGTTTGGGTTTCTATCAAGGTTTTGCTTGTCTAATGAAAAACATTGTTAAGAGGATTTTTACTGTGGTATGCCACTAGCATTGCATAGAAAAATAACATCAGTTTGAGAATTGTATGATATGCACAATTTGATTTTGTATGTTTTGTGGTGACGACGAACCATTTGAGGGATGGCTGTATTCTAATCAAGGTTGCACAAGATCTGAATTACAAGTGGAATAGTAATACAGGATAATGTAATAAGTTAGAGTTGGTACTCAAATGAATAGGCTAAAAGATGTTTGGTTTCTGTAGTGACAACTTGACAGCAGTTTGAATAATTATGTGAAAAATGCAGCATTATTGGCTGTGGTCACACTATGCACTTTTGCCCTTTGTAAACTTGTTGACAGTTTTACCAAGGAAACTTAAATTTAGAAGTGTGACTGATTTTCCCCCTAGAGAACAAGATAGAACAAAAGAATTTCCCTTGACATTAACCCTACATGTATTGAAGGGGTAAACTGAAATTCCAAGGTAGTTAGCCAATAGATGCTTATCGGTAAATGCGCTGATGACAGATTTGATTTTATTGCATCACGTTTACTTGAAAAACATCAAAGTGCAAGTCTTGTGTCACTTTTGTCGCGTGCTTGTATGTGTGTCAAATGAAGAAGATGACATGGTTTAGATCCAATGTACAAGTATATATAATTTGCAATCAGTAAACTTTTCATTTGACTGAATTTCATCATGACTTAACTACCTTGTTTGCTATAGCTTTTAATAATTGGCTCATGTATTTCGTTTCAGAAACCAGTATGCTTATGGTGATAAACAGGACCCAATCTATAATGGCTTTCTTTTCAATCAGCTACATTCACAGAATCCAGTACCAAGTGGAGTGTTTCTACAAAATTAATTCACCCCAAAACTTCACTTCATTTCACTCAAGCATAGTTCCATCGAGCAAAATTCTTTCCACTTCACAACCAAGCAATGCTGCTCAAGGCTGCAATCATTGGTCTTCAATCGAGTCAAGAACATTAATTTTGTCCTACCAGGAGGATGCCAAGGCAAGCCAAAAGCTCCCAGAGAAAAAGGCGATATGGCAAACTATCTTACAAGCATTCAAAGAGAGCTGCCAGGATAAAGCAATTGAAAGCGAGGAAATTTTGACGCAGCTAAAGGAGAAGTGGAAGAGCCTTGTTGAAAACTACAAGAAGATCAAAGATAACAACAAAGCCACCAGAAGAGAATGTGAGCCTTTCAAACTCTTGGAAGAACTTGACTCCATTTTAGGGTGCAGTGACAAGATTAGCCCAAGATACACATGCAAAACCGATATTTGCACTGATAATCCAGACAAGGATTCCTCAACAGGAGACTTGACCTCACCATCAACAAGAGGCAGAAGTTCCAATTCTGATGGAGAAGATTGTGCAGTAGTGGACAATGACAAAGCCACACAGGCGAAAATCCTTGAAGCTCTGCCAAAAAAAGCAGAAAAGTGCACCGCAGATAAGAAAAAAATAAGAAGCCAGTCCAAATTATAAAAAAACTGGAAAAACAAAAGAAAACTGGCAAACGAGAAAGTCTGACTGCATTGCTGCAGGGTCAACAACAAATGATGACAAAAGCAGAGGAGCATGATCACTTGGCATACTGAACTGTTTTACTGAACTGAAACATTTTTAGTGCTAATAGTTCCTCTGTTGAGTTATTTCTCTACCAAACAGCTGTCTATTTACATTTAAATGAAGTAACTAATACAAGTAATCAACAATTGCTTGTCTTATGTCATTGGCTTCTAATTCATCATCTTCAACATACTGCACAAGATGGTTATTTAAAACGTATCTGTCAAAATCATTGTTCATTACAATACAATGTTGTGTGAGACAGAACATGCAGTTATTGTCTGAGGAATCTTCATTGTGTCCTTCTCAATTCTTTTGTCCAAACATCTCCGCCTCACTTTGGTTTGGCCAAATCCACATTCAACCTCTGTTTTCTTAAAAGGGATACATCAGCC